TATATATATACGTATATATATATATATATATATATATATATATATATATATATATATATATATATATATATATATATATATATATATATATATATATATAGATCGATATAATATATATATATACATATATATATATATATATATATATATATATATATATATATTAACCTCTGACATCTCACCACCATGCAACTTGCTTATAACTTCTCTCGTACTCTCTCAGGAGACGGACCTGCTGCCAAGGCGGTCACAAAGAGCTTAGAGCAACTGGACAGCACACTGTCAGAAGCAGCACCCTCAACTGACCAAAACACCATGCGAAATGATACCACAACACCAATACCAAAGACATCAGATAACAGCGAGAGTGTACCAATGCACACACCTGAGAAGTCAAGGTCAAACACGCCTGCGCCAAAGACAAGCCCCACAGCCGAGGAAGTCACAGCACAGCCACGGACACAGCACGCGCAAGACGCACAACAGTCTGACAACGGTACCACACCAACGCAACAAAGTACATCTAAGGCAGCAGCCGATGACACAGCATCGCGAGAAGATGCGTTAACGTTAACGGATACGCCCAGCAAGGCAAACGCAAATGCAAACAACATATACCAACGCCTGTACTTTGCACAGCAGATGCCTTCCTACGGCCCGGCGCCGCCCGCTGTGAGTGCGGCTACGCTGCAGGTGAGTCATTGAACAGACCTCCACACATGTAGCACTGAATATGTTCATATGTATTCTAGGCTATGCACGAGGTGTGTCAGGGAACACGTGATATAATATGTTAACGGAATAGGCTGATTTGATTATAGGGTGTGGATGATGCGTAGCTTTGGCTATTTTATGAGATGCCGCCGTCGCACGATATAGTTGTATACTGTGGAACTCACATATGAACATAACTTCTCCACGCTACGTATATATATATATATATATATATATATGTGTTATTATTATTATTATTATTATTACTACAATCATAATTAATATTATTATTCTTATTATTATATTATTATATAATATATATATATATATATAATATATAATTGTATATGTATTGTATAACTATTATATATATACACACACACACACACACACACACACACACACANAT